GTTCGCTTCGCGTCTCCGCGTTGTTCCGAAGTGTCCGAGCGTCTCTGGAGGCTTCTGGGAGCTTCTGGAAGGGGAGCGGAAGGGTAGTTCGGGGACTGAGGAGCGCGGAGTAGGGTGTAAGAAGCGAATGGTGAGGAGTGAGAAGTGAGGCGAGAAGAATCAAGCGTCAACATGCGAGGAGGAAGGATAGAGAGAGAGAGAGAGAAAATGGAGGAGATGAGAGAAGAACGGATGGTGGAGGCGGAGAAGGGCAAGGAGGAGGAGGAGGAGGAGGAGGAGGAGCAGGCGGAAGAGGAGAGATGATGATGATGATATTGCTGATGATGATGCTGATGATGGTGATGATGACGATGCTGCTGATGCTGATGATGATGATAAGAATGATGATGATGCTGATGTTGGTGCTGGTGATGATGACGAGGATGCTGATGATGATGGTGATGATGGTGATGATGATGGTGATGATGTTGATGATCATGCTGATTCGGATGATGATGATAGTGATGCTGATGACGATGATGAGGATGATGATGATGAAGATGATGATGGTGATGATGGTGATGATGATGAGGAGGAGGAAGAGGAGGAGGAGGAGGCGGAGGGGTAGGAGGAGGAGGAGGAGGAAAAGAAGAAGGAGATGTACAGCACCCATCGGGACCTCATGCCTACAGGAACCAGGAACCCGGAGGAGGAGGCGGAGGAGGAGGAGGAGGCGGAGGAGGAGGAGGTGGAGGAGGGGGGATGAGGAAGAGGAGGACAACAAGGGGCTGCGAACGCGGGAAGGGGAGGTTGGCGGTGCCGACGGCCACGCGCCTGGTAGGCGATCGTGGTCACGATGTCGTCCCCGCCTGCTCGGCCGCAGCTTCGCTGCCACTCGCCGCCCCCCTTGCGCTCTTGCTCCTCCTCCTCCTCCTCCTCCTCCTCCTCCTCCTGCTCCTCCTCCTCCTCCTGCTGCGTCGCCGCTGCTGCTGCTGCTGCTGCTCCTCCTCCCCCCACTTCCTCCTTCTCTTCCTCCTTCTCCTCTTTTTCCTCCTGTTCCTCCTCCTCCTCCTTCTCCTCCTCCTCCTCCTCCTCCTCCTCCTCCTCCTCCTCCTCCTCCTCCTCATCCTCCCCAAGACCTCCGGGGACTTCTGGGGGCACCCTCCTCGCCCGCCGCCTGGTCTTGCTCCTCCCTGCTCCTCCTCATCCTCCTCCTCCTCCTCCTCGTCCGCCTCCGAAGCTTCGTTCCAGGAGGGGGGAATGGCGGGAAGGGAGGGGAGGAAGGGACAGACTGGGCTTGCTCGCATGGCATCTGCATTTGCTCCACGCTTCGCTCTTGTCCTTCCTTCGCTGTGCAAGTTCCCTTCGGAGGAGGAGGCAAGGAGAAGGCTATATGTAAAGATCAATGTCTGCGACGTGTAGTGTACCCCTCGGGCTTATCTCTTCCGTCTACGCCATGTTCAATACTCGCTGGGTCGGGAAGGCACAGGCCTGTCGAAAGAAGACATACCAACTCCTCCTTGTCCTCCTCCTCCTCCTCCTCCTCCTCCTCCTCCTCCTCCCGCTAGGGTTGCTACCTCATGCTCCTTCATCATGGACCGCTCCTTCAGGTCCTGACGACTGCTTGCTCGTGCGCGCGATACTAGACAAACAACACTTTCGACTCCACTCAACCCTTCTCGCAGCATCCGCTTGCACTCCACACTGCACCACACCGCACACGACGAGCTTCGCGCACAAGCTCTGGCGGCACCGGGGGACATCCTGCAGCCAGACGTGGAGAGAGGAAGCAGATCGCAGACGAGAACGGTGGCAAAGGGCAAAAGCTCGTCGCCCTCCTCCTACTCCTCCTCCTCCTGCTCCTCCTCCTCCTGCTCCTCTTCATCCTCTTCCTCCTCCCCATCATCACCCTCCTGATTGTCATCATCATTACAATGGCAATCGTCGCCATCATTATCGTTATCATCAACCATCACCAACATCACCAACGCCAACATCATTGTCGTAGTTAATCAACATCCGAATCAGCAGCAGCATCATCACTGTCGTCGTCAGCAGCAGCATCCTCACACATCCTCACATTCCTCCCTCCCTGCGGCACCTTCCACGGGCACGACTTCGCCGCACAGCGCGCGGCTCCCTGTCGCCTCGCCCTCGCCCGTCTGCCAGTAGTACTGCGCCTGCATCGCCCACGAGTCGAACTCCTGCCACTGCGGGAGAAAACCGTCGCTGCTACGGGCCAGGCAATTGCCGATCATCACCTGCGGGACGATCTGGTTCATCCTATACGGGTGGATCGGAAACGAGCCCGAGGCGCCGTAGCTGTCGAAGTCCAGGTCCCCCCACACGTAGAGGGTGTGCGTGTGCTTCTGGAAGGTGGCGGAGGAGGGGATCGGCGGGCACCTGCAGGAGGGGGAATGAGCAGGAGGAGAATCCCACCAGCCGTTGATGGCGTGAATGGTTTAGAGCGTTTCCTCTTCCACATCCCCTTTCTTCCCCTTCGGGGAGGGGGTTACCCCTCCCCCTGCTCCCTCCCCCTGGACCTGGACGGAACATCCCGCGAGGGGGTGGAGCGTCCAAAATGGCCTCGGCGAGGAAGCCCGTGCCCCAAGACGGCCCCAAGAGGTGCCCCAAAGAGGTCCCACGAAGCCCCCGGGAGGCCCCCAAGATGACCCCGAGAGGCTGCCAAGAGATCCCAAGACGCCCCCAGAGGCCCCCCCGAGGCACCCAAGACGCCCGACGAGGCCTCGGCGAGGAAGCCCAAATCATTGAGTGTACTGAGGTTTTGGCCACATGTTGGCCTCATGAGGGGGACCCCTAAGTAGGGAGCCCCCCCTCCTTTGATCGATCTGGTCCTAGATGGCCGCAAGATGGCTCCCGAGGCTCCCAATGGTGCGCCAAGGCGGCCCCAAGGGGTGCCCAGGAGGCCTCAAGAGGTCCCCGATGCCCCCAAGAGGTGCCCCCAAGGGACCCCCCAGACGCCCCAAGAGGCCCCCCCGAGGCACCCAAGACGCCACAAGAGGCTCCCGGGACTGCCAAGAGACCCCCAAGACGCCCCAAGAGAAATCGAAGAAACCCTCGGAACGAATCCGAAGAGACTCCGAGAGGCATTCAAGAAGCCTCTGGCCTTTATGCTGGCCTTCTTCCTCCTCCTCCTCCTCCTCCTCCTCCTCACTCCTCCTCCTCCTCATCCTCCTCTTCTCCTCCTATTCTCATCGCCCCCTCCTCTCCTTCTCTCCTCCTCCCCTCCCCTCTCCCGCCTCATCCTCCTCCTCTCTCCTCCTTCCTCCTCCTCCTCTCATCCTCCTCCTCCTCCTCCTCCTCCTCCTCCTCCTCCTCCTCCTCCTCCTCCTCCTCCTCCTCCTCCTGCTCCTTCAGCGAGTCCTCCTCCATCATCCCCCTCTTGGGGTACGACGTCTTACCCAGACCTTTGATTCCACTGCATTCTCCTCCACATCGTCTGGGCATCGTTTCTGGATGGGCTGGCGGGGTTACTTTTTTGGTCGTGGCCACGAGACGACGGTCAGGCGGCGAAGGCAACGTCCGGGCCACGGGCGAGGCTAATTGCTAAGCAGAGCGCCAGCCGGCCCACTCAGACGGCGGCTGATGGCTGGGTGACGCTGAACTGGCTGGCGTACTGCAAGCACGGGCACGTGCACTGGACAAAATGACCAGAATTCGAAAGGCCATCGCAGGAAACGCGCAGGACCTGCGGATCACGAAGGGCCGGAAGTGAGTCGCCGATGAGGCGCCAGACTCCAAACGCTGGCGGGGTTACGCGAAGCGTCTAGAATTGATGGGCTGATTGAGCGCCCCCCAGTGCCGCGCTTGATGACACCATGGAACCTCAAAGCCTGCTGCACCAAATGGTGAGATATCAGCCGAGGGGAGACGGATCATAATCGGGGGAACACCAGACATGCAACTGGCCCCAGCCAGCTGGGAAAACCAGGCATGCAAACGAACTGAGTCCGAGAGACGAGAGAGGCGGAGGAGGAGGAGGAGGAGGAGGAGGAGGAGGAGGAGGAGGAGGAGGAGGAGGAGGAGGAGGAGGAGGAGGAGGAGGAGGAGGAGGAGAAGGAAGCACTTGAGCAGGAGGAGTAGGAGCAATGGAGGAGGAGGAGAGGAGGAGGAGGAGGAGGAGGAGGAGGAGGAGGGACGAGAAGGAGGAGGAGGGAGGAGGAGGAGGAGGAGGAGGAGGAGGAGGAGGAGGTAGAAGGGAGGAGGAGGGGAGGAGGAGGAGAAGGAGGAGGAGGCGGAGATGAAAGAGGAGGGAAGGGGATAAGGAGGAGGAGAAGCAGGAGGAGGAGCAGGAGGGAAAAACCAAGAGGACGAGGACGAGGAGAAGAAAGGGGGAGAAGGGAGGAGGGGAGGAGGGAGGAGGGAGGATGGGAGGAGGGAGGAGGGAGGGATGAGGAAGGGAGGAGGGGGGGGGAGAGAGGAGGAGGAGGAGAGGAGGAGGAGGAGGAGGAGGAGGAGAGGAGGAGGAGGGGAGGAGGAGGAGGAGGAGGAGAGGAGGAGGAGGAGGAGGAGGAGAGAGAGGAGGAGGAGAGGGGAGGGAAGGAGGAGGGAGGAGGGGAGGAAGGGAGGAGGGAGGAGGGAGGAGGAGAAGGAGGAGGATGCCGGGGTGACGAGGCGAGCAAATAGCAGAGACGACAACGCGACAGGCAGGCAGTAGAGGGGAGGCGAAATGCAACGAGGGGGCAGGACGAACACGTGACCACGAGAAGAGACGACGACCAACACACAGAGGCTCCAACCTCTGAAGCCGATCTCTGCCCACGAGGATAACCACGAGGTCTCGGGCCAACTGCTGGGCAGTCACCCTGCCGCGGGTTCCCTGGGGACTAAGCTGAACAGACCAGACCGAGTCCCACCTCACAACGCGCCCTCTCGCAGACTTCGTGTCGGTCGTGGAAGAAACACTGCTTGAGGGGGAGAAGGGGAACGAGGATGAAGGAGAAAAGAGGAGGATGAGGAGGATGAAGAGGAGGAGGAGGAGGAGGAGGAGAAGGAGGAGGGATGAGGAAGGAAGAAGGAGGAGGAGGGGGGGGAGTAGGAGGAGGAGGAGGAGGAAGGGGGGGGAGGAAGGAGGAGAAGGAGGCGGAGGAGATGGAGGTGGAGGAGGAGGAGGCGGAGGAGGAGGAGGAGGAGGGGAAGGAGGAAGGGAGTGGGAAGACGGAAGATGAAGGGGGAGGAGGAGGAGGCGGAGGAGGAGGAGGAGGGAGGAATGAGAGGAGGAGTAGGAGGAGGAGGAGGGATGAGGAAGGAGGGAGGGATAGTAGGAGGGATTAGGAGGAGGAGGAGGAGGAGGAGGAAGGAGGAGGAGGCGGAGGGAGGGATGGAGGGAGGAGGAGGAGGAGGAGGAGGAGGAGGCGGAGGAGGAGGAGGAGGAGGAGGAGGAGGGAGGAGAGGAGGGCCTGAGAGGGGAGGAGGGGAGCGGCGGGCACCGGAAGACGTACTTGACCTCCCAGTCCTCCGACGCGGGCGGGAGGATCTCTCTCTTGTCCTTGGGTCGTGGCTGGTCGGCCAGCCCGAGGGCCACGGGGAGGCCAGGCACAGTCAATCCGGCTCCTCCTCCTCTCCTCCCTTCCCCTCCTCTGCTTGCTCCTCTTTTTTACCCCCCTCCCCTCCTCCACCACTTCCTCCCCTCCTCCCTCCCTCCCGCCCCCTCTCATCCCCGCCCTCCTCCCTCTTCCCTCCTCCCTCCTCCCTCCTCACTCCTTCCTCCCTCTCCTCCCCCCTCCTACGCCCCGATCCCTCTCCCTCCTCCCCTCCTCCCTCCTCCCTCTTTCGTAACTTCGCTCAAGCCGTTCAACAGCGAGCGAAAATCCGATTCTTCAAGCAGGCTCGACATGTGCCCCTGGTCCAGGGCTGCAGGTGTCACTCGTATTACTGCTTGAGGTTATGAGTACGGGAAGCGCCCCCTCGGAGGCGGCGCTCGAAGGTGCAAGCAAGAGGCGCGCTGGCCTTCCTCTGGTGATCGCAGGGCTCGGCGAGTGCGGGCACGGGAGTCGGCAGACAATCTCGTGCTCCACTCCGAGCTGGACGGCACCAGGAGGGAGCACAGCTGCCAGCTCGAATCGATGGACACGCTCTTCGGCGACGGCGAGCTGGCGAGGCGTGTCTCAGCCCTACTCCCAGCCTTGGGGGCGCTGCCGGCTGGTCGGTGGCCCGACCGTGTTGCGGCCCTTCGGAGAAACGTCGCCCTCCACCCTCGGGCCGAGGGAATCGACGTCCTCGATGCCTCCTCAGGAAACTCTACCGAGTGCATCGCGGCCCACAGTCGGGCCCCCCTAGTGGGCTCAACCTGCAGGCGGAAGTGTTCAAGCCTCGAGGGTGGGAGGAGTTGAGGGCAGTGGATTCGCTCGCACCGGTTACTGGGCTATGTGACGGAGCGCCGTGCGCCTGTGGAGCAGCTCTCTTCTCTGGCTGTGCTGGCTGTGCTGCCGCTGTCGTCGCCCCGCCCGAGGTGCCAGGCCAGGCCAAGGAGCAGCAGGAGCCCATCGACGGGAGGCTCACAGAGCTGGCAGTGCAGCCTGCTCTCGCGGCGCCGTCTCCGCGTCGGACCTCCGTGCGGCGTCGGGCGCCCCTGGCTGCGACCGCCGTCTTGCGGAGCGACGGAGATGCCGAGGCCGCGGGGCGTGGTCCGACGGAGGAGCCGCGGGGGTCGCCCGGTGCCTCCCCAAACTGCCGCGGGCCGGGAGGCCGGCGCGCAGCGCGAGCGGCTCCTTGGCGGCGCCGGTGTCTTTCAAGGCGCGCAACGCGAGCGGCTCCTTGGCGGCGGCGATGGGCGCGGCTCGCCGCGACGTCGGGCCGCCCAAGGGGGGAGGACTGCCCTGCCGCCGGGCGCAGCCGCTTACGGAGGAGCCCCTGCTGGTCTTGCGGCCGCGATGGGCGGGCTGGGGGTGGCATTGGCTGAGATTGCCGCGTCGGCGGCACCCGATGCAAGCAAATTCAATCGTACGCAATCCGTCCCCATTCGGTTCTTGTGCTGCCAGACGTGATGTTGGGCGTGCGCAGTTATGATATTCTACGACCCCCTCGACATCAAACACCAATTTTTCTACCCCTCATCCCCCCCGATTTCAATGTACGGCCCGCTGCGTCCGAAGAAAAACATATAAACCGCCAATTTCGACGCCTTTTTTCTGGGGGCGCCGCCACATCGCGGCAAAGAAGCATGCGTTTGATTTTGAGGCGGGTTGTATGAACTCTGCCTATGACACCCTGCGCTGCTCGAGGCGCGGCTATGGTGGTCTGTTTTGGCGTCCTGGTGTCCTACCATGCCGTCGCAGTCCCCGTCGAGCTCGGGGCTTGCTGTGGCTATCGAAGATGACCTCGTCATGGTTCCCATTTTCCCTCCCACTCCTTCCTCCCTCCTCCCTCCTCCCTCCACCCTCCTCTTCCTCTTCCTCCTCCTCCTCCTCCTCCACAGTCTCCTCCTCCTCTTCCTCCTCCTCCTCCCCATCATCATCATCATCATCATCATCATCATCATCATCATCATCATCATCATCATCATCATCATCATCATCATCATCATCAGCAGCACCATCATCGTCATCATCATCAGCATCATCATCGACATGACTATCACAATCGCCACCATCATCATCATCATCACCAACAACAACATAATCACCATCATCAACATCACCACATCATCACATCAACATCACAACATAATCACCAGAATCACCATCATCACATCTCTTCCTCCTCCTCCTCCTCCTCCACAGTCTCCTCCTCCTCTTCCTCCTCCTCCTCCCCATCATCATCATCATCATCATCATCATCATCACCACCACCACCACCATCATCATCAGCAGCAGCAGCATCAGTATCAGCATCACCATCAGCATCATCATCAGCATCATCATCAGCAACATCATCATCATCAACAGCAGCATCATCAGCATCATCAGCAGCATCAGCATCATCACCACCACCACCATCATCATCATCATCATCATCATCATCATCATCATCATCATCATCAGCAGCACCATCATCGTCATCATCATCAGCATCATCATCGACATGACTATCACAATCGCCACCATCATCATCATTCTATCACCATAACAAACAACAACATAATCACCATATCAACAAAAGCAGCATGACCAGCCTCATCAGCAGCAACCTCGCATGATGATGAGATGAGATGATGATGGATGATGATGATGGTGATGGTGATGATGATGCTGATGATCATCATCATCTCATCAGTATCCGCATAGCATGTCGCCTGACATCAGCATCAGCATATCTCCTCACCAGTCACCATCACCATCATCATCATCATCATCATCAGCAGCATCATCAGCATCAGCATCATCATCATCATCATCATCATCATCATCATCATCATCATCATCATCATCATCATCATCATCTGTCATCATCATCATCATCCGTCATCTCCGCCTTCAGCTTCTCCTTCAGCTCCTCCTCCTCCTCCTAGGAGGAGGAGGAGGAGGAAAAGGAGGAGGAGGAGGAGGAGGAGGAGGAGGGAGGACGAGGGAGGAGAAGGAGGAGGAGGAGAAGGAGGAGGAGGACGGGTCGCCTAGCCCTTTCGGAGAAACCCTCCAAGGGGCAGACCATGGCAGACACAGCCCAAACGCGCCCAGAGGCCAACGACAACCAACAAACGAACACGCAAGACAAGACAAGACACACCCAGACGGCCGGGCAGCGGCCGGGCCGGGCTGCCTCTGGGCCTCTGGCGGGGCCGGCGTCGACTCGACTCGACGACGACGACGACGACGACGACGACGACGACGACGGAAACGAAAACAACGGCGAAAACGAAGACGAAGACGACGACGACGAAAACGATGACGACGACGAAAACGAAAACGACGACGACGAAAACGAAAACGACGACGACGACGAAAACGATGACGACGAAAACGACGACGACGACAACGACGACGACGAGAACGACGACGAAAACGACGACGAAAACGACGACGACGAAAACTACGTTTTCTCCGAGAGTACCACCGCAGACAGCAGAACTGGAAGAGTCACCGAGGCCGCGACCACACCATGAGGCTTCAGCGGCCCAACCCGAGGCCGATGGACCTGCGGGCGTGGCCAGAAGCACTCCGGGCTGGCTCGAGCAGAGACCAGCTCGCCACGAAGGAGAGCGGGGGGACCCCGAGATCCTGGCGCTGCGATTGGTTTGCACCGTACGTTTTCGCCCGGTTTCGGGCCCTGGGAGCATCTCAGATCGATGCGGCTCGAAAAGTGCCGCAGAAAGATGGAGTCTGGGGCTCCGACTGTGATGTCTCGCGATGTTGCAATGTTCTTTCCAGCGTCAGATCTCAAGGGAGGCGGAGCTGGTGGAGAGCACCCCAGGGCCTGAAGACGCCCAGGGAGCTCCAAGAGAGCCCAGAGCCCCTCGTAGAACCAGCAGGCGCAAAGGGGGCAGACCACGGCCACCGCCACCAGACTTCCGTGGCGCTTCTTGTTTGCAACGTGGCTCCCTAGAGATATGGAGCCCCTTCCCGGGAACGGGCTCGTCATCCTGAGAGGTTCCTGAGGGTCCCCGGGCCCAGCGAAGGCCTCTGGAGGCAGAAGGCGAGCAAGTGCAAATTCCGTCATGCTGTTCTCTCGCGACGCGGGCAAAGCCACCGAACTTCGCGCATCGAACTCCACGATGCGCGGCACGCGATTATCTTCGCGCCCATCGCCCCCGCGCCGCTTCCTTGAAGAAGGGCAGCTGCTCCAGCCCAGACCGAGACCAACCAAGCTTTCGTCCGACCAAATCGTCGTCTGGCGTGTGGGTCTCGTCTGGCTTTTCGGCCATGACTTGGGCCGTTCAGGACGATCCGTGCGGCCGTTCAGGACGATCCGGGAACCCTGGAACGCCCTCCGCGAGGCGCAGCTGCTGGGAAGCACCCCAGGGCTGGAAAACTGCCGTTAACTGTCAACAAAAACCGCCGAGGCTGAAACAATGATTTTCGCAACGAGAGGACGATGAGGGAGTTCCACTTCACGTGATCTCCCTCGTGCAGCGGCGACGGGTCCGCCGCGGACAAATGCAAAAAAACGATCCGTCGCCGCGCGGATCTTTTGAGAAATCAATGAGATGAGTGGTGCGATGTGCGCTGGGCGCGCCTTTGAGAGTCAAGCTCTGGCATGTGCCGCGCGCAATTCCTCGGGCTGCCGCACGATGACCCGGTACTCGCCGTCGCAGGGTGGCAGCACGGACAGGTCGACGCCCGCGACGTCGGGCCGGCGCCCAGCCGCCACGCGCAGCGCGATCGAGACGCGGTGAACCCCCGAGGCGCAGGACGTGGGCCGCGGCCGGCCGGCCCGGTGCCCGTGGAGGAGCGGGGGTCCCTCGCGGTGACGCCCCCGCCTCAGCCCCCCTGCCCTCTCCTTCCCTCCCATCCCCTCCTGCCATGCCCTCTCCCCCCTCCCCCCTCCAGCCCCCTCCTCCTCCTCCTCCTCCTCCTCCTCCTCCTCCTCCTCCTCCTCCTCCTCCTCCTGCTCCTGCTCCTCCTCCTCCTCCTGCTCCTCCTGCTCCTCCTCCTCCTGCTCATCTCCTCCTCCTCGTCCCCTCCTCCTCTGCCTCCTCCTCCTCCTCCTCCTCCATTTATCCTCTTCTCTTCCTCCTCTCCTCCTCCTCCTCCTCCTCCTCCCCCTCCCTCCCTGCTCCTTCCTTTCTCTCCTCCTCCTCCTATTCCTCCTGCCTCCCCATCCCTTCTCCTCTCCTCATCCTCCCTCCTCCTCCTCCACCTCCTCCTCCATCTCCCCTCCTCCTCCTCTCATCTCTCCCCTCCTCCTCCCCTTCCTCCTCCTCCTGATCCTGATCCTCCTTTTCCTCTTCCTCCTCCTCCTCCTCCTCATCATCATCATCAGCATCATCATCAGCATTTATCCTATCAGTTTTCCTGATAGAAAGCTCCTCCCTGTCGCACCCCCAGACGCGTTGGTAGGGCAGGCTCGACGTTTCGCCTGATACTTCCTCACCATTTCTGATCCTGACAGTGCAAAAGGTGCAACAGTTTCAAAGATAGGGCCAGTGGTTTTCAAAATGTGGCGCTCGCCCTAGCGCCGCGCATATCCGATTTACAAAGTTTCATCACTCTTACGGATGGAAGGCGGGTGGTTTCCAACATGTGGCTCTCGCCTTAGAGCCGCGCGCATGCGTCTTCAAAAAATGCAGCAGTTTCAAAACGGGAGGGCGGCTCCTTTTCAAAATGTGGCGCTCGCCTCAGCGCCGCGCGCATTCGTCTGGAAGGTTTGCAGCAGTTTTGGTAATTCGCAGGGTTGAAGTTCCAGGAACGGTGTTCTGGAACGAGTTAAGATTGTCAGAACGCAGCAGTTACGCGGACTGGCTGTGCTGAAGTCCCAGGAATTGTGTTCTGGCGCGACTTAGGATTGTCAGGACGCAACAATTACGTGGATTCGCTGTGTTGAAGTCCCAGGAGTGGCGTTATGGCACGGTTTCGGATTGTCGTGTTGCAGCGGTCAGGTTGATTCGCGACCTTGTTGTCCCAAGAACAATGTTTTGACACGATTGGGGACTCTCAGACGGCTGTATTTCAATTGGGCACTTTCCGCAATGAGTTGAACATACATACTAGTAGGGACATATGACGAACGAACTTGGAGGAAGGATTTATTGCAACATTGCTGATGCGTCTTAGGCGTATACTGGTCCTCCTCCTCCTCCTCCTCCTCCTCCTCCTCCTCCTCCTCCTCCTCTTCCTCCTCCTCCTCCACCTCCTCCGCCTCCGCCTCCGCCTCCGCCTCCTCCTCCTCCGCCTCCTCCTCCTCCTCCTCCTCCTCCTTCCTCCTCCTCCCCGCCTCCTCCTCGTCCTCCCGGGCCGCCCCCCCCCCCCCCCCCTCCCGTTCTGGACCTCCGGCCCGCCAGAGCTGGTAGCTGCAGACCAGGTCCTCGAGGGGCACGTCCTCCGCCCGCCCAGGCGCGTCCTCCCCGCCAGCCCAGAAGATCCGCCGCGCCCTCGCCCCTCGAGAGGCGTCCTTGGCGGCGCGCACAAGGGGGCAGGGGGAGGGGGGCAGGCTTCGCAGAGTCAACTGCACGCAGGAGTGAACCTGGGTAACAGCGACCTTTGGTGCGCAGCCTCTGGGGGGACCGCGGGGGGGACCAAACACAAGCGCGCAAGACGCAACTACCGCATCGCTTTCGGCGTTCGGGAGGGGGGGCCCAATGGGCCCGCACCAGAAAGGTCACTCCAGCGACGGTCACTCTTACGTGTAGTCGACAGACAGAGGCTGCTTCTTAGAAGGCGCTGAGCCTTACATCTACAGACAAGGGCCGCGCCCTCTGAGAAGCAGGGGCGTTTCCAAGAAGCCTTCCCCCCTCCCCCTTCCCCTTTGCGCGCGCCGCCAAGCCCCTGCGTCGAGGCGGCGGGAGGGGGGGAGGGGAGCTGTGCACCCGGAATCCGATCCGGGCCCAACTTTTGAAAATCTCCCAAAAACGCAAACAAAAAAAAACGAAAAGTCGAAAAGTCAAAAATTCAAGGGACGGGCGATCCGACTCCGAATTGCTGATAAAAGGGACGGGCGGGCCAGCGCGGCGCACCCGACCCACCCCCTCTCGCGATCCGCGCGCATGATGGGCCTCGTGGGCCGTCAAGGGCTCTTTGGGCCCTTTTGGGGGCCTTGGTGGGTCTTGTCGGGGGCCTTTGGGTGGCCTCTTGGGCGTTTCTTGGACCCCGGTGGCCCGCCTGGGCGCGTCTCGAAGTTATTTGGGGCCCTCGGGGAACGATTCCAAGATAATGCTGGTTCGGATTCCCCTCCGGAGCCGATTCGTCGAGGATGTCTCACACGAAACGGCCAAGTTACTGGAATCCGCCCCGCATTCCGCAGTTAGAGACAACTCGACCCCAGCATCCGCCGACCCTGTCGGCGTGTGCGAGGGGGGTTTGGGGTCAGTCGTCCCCCCAGTGGCCAAAAGAAGCGATTGTAATTTGATTTGCTTTCCAGGCCTGACACACCGGAGACAAGACGAGCTGTCTCGGCTGGCCCTCCGCCGCCTCGGACGGCGCGAGATGAAGGAGGAGAACGGGCTGGATGGGCACGACAAGCCCGCACAACCCCGCGAACCCCCACAAGCCCTACGAGGCCTTCAAACTTTACGCGGAGGTAGAGAAAGAAGAGGGGGAGGAGGATGGGAAAAGGAAAATGAGATGGTGGAGGGGGCAGCAGCAGCAGCAGATGAACGAAGAGTGGAAGGCGAGGGAGGACATTTCAATCAAACGCCCCCCCCAGCGACTGACAGCAGGACGCCCCTTGGCGCGGCGCCTGTCAGCGGGGTCCACCCGCCAAGGCCTCGGGGCGGGCTTACTCCTGTGAGGACTGGCGACAAGTGAAAAAACAGCAAAACATTAAACTGCGACTCTCCAATCCCCAGGGGTCGTCGAGCACGAGGCGCTGCTCTGGCGATGCCGGTGGCGGATCCCGCGGCTGGCGTCGCGACGTGGCCCCCGTCCATGGCGGTCGCGAGCGGCCCGCGGCCGATGGCAAATGACGCATGCGGCCTGCGGCCGATGACGATTACGCCCCCTGATCATCTGGGACGCAGCGGCGCGAGACACCTCGGCGGCGAGCGACGATGGGCGCCTGCGGCGGAGGGCCCGCGGCCGACTCAGGACTTCGCCCAATGGCTCGGTTTGCCTCCTTCCGGCGGCGCCGGCCACCAGAACTCACTGCGCGATGGCGTCGGCGGTCGCGCGCTGGAGTTGGAGCTCGCGCGTCTGCTCGATGGCCTGCTTGAGGGAAACCTCAATGAGGTAGTGCGCGAAGCAACGCAGCGCCTGCAAGGGCGCGGCGGGAATGCGCACTCTCCCGGACTTGCTCGCCACCGACAGGAACTTCCGCATGGCTGCCCTGGGGGTGGTCTCCGCCCCGCCCATATTGACGGCCACCTCGCCGTCGAATATCCCGACGGTCTCGTCGTCCTCCAGGCGCCGCGTCGCCTCCAGCACCTTGCCCAACGCCCGGCCCCTCTGGGATGGGGGCATTTTCGTCTGGATAGCGGCCCCCGCCCGCACGGCCAGGAGGCCGATGTAATAGGGCTTCTCCTTCGCGGTCGCGCTGGGGCCGACGAGCTGCTTCAGCGCCGCGACGAGGTCAACGGCGTCGACGCTGAGCATGTGAAGAGCGAGCTCGACGTTCTTGCGCAGGGCGTCCTTGGCGTCGCTGGAGACCGCGACGGGCTGGCCGCCGTCGGCCATCATGCGCTCGGTCTTCCTGTCAATGATACGGTGCATCTTGGCGCCAGCGACGACGGGGAAGCCCGGCGCGCCGCCCGGCGCCGGCCCCGGGCACTCTGGCCCCTCTGGGCCTGCAGGGGCCGGGAGCGCGTCGTCCGCCGCCGCCGCCGCGTCGATGATGCTCGCGCGAACCCATCTCAGGGGCCCGAAGACGACGGCGCTCTTGCGGCCCCAACTCGATATCTGGCCCGCGTCGCCCGCCGCCTTGCCGAGGCCCGCCGCGGCGGCCACCTCCCGGAGCGTCTTCGCCGGCATGGCGCGAAACAGCTTGCTCAAACCCTGGAAATCCTTGGCGCCAGCGATGGCCCCCCCAACGGGGGCGCCAGTGATCCTCGCCATCTCGCTGCACCAGGGGAGAGCCCCGTTTCTTGTTCAACCAGCGCGCGGCGCGGCTCCACTTCCCGGCCTCCGCGGCGGCATCGGTTCGAGCAAGGTATCCGCTGCGACCTGGCCGCGCCCCTCGGGTCTCTCGGGCGCCGGCTCGCCCCGCGCGGGCGCCCGGCCCTCCGGGTCGCCAGCCCGCGTATCCGGCGGAGCTCGCGGCGCGGCATTCCGAATGCATGCGCCCATGCGAATGACGAGCACCTCCTTCGACTCACCGAAAAGCCCGGCCCATGCCGCGGCGCCCCGATCAGGGGGCCCATGCGCGCCCGCCTCGAGGCCCCCCGCGGGGACATTCGAAATCTTCTCGATCTCGAAGACAGCCTCGGGGCAGTCCATCTCGCGCCCGCCCCCGAGCTTCAGAAACTTTTTCGCGGGCTTCTGCTCGTTGGAGAATATGCGCGCCAAGTACTCCTTGTACTCGCGGTGCTCTTCTTTCTTCTTTTCCTCCACCATCATCTTCAAGTAGAACTGCTTTTTCGCCATGAACGCCACGGCGTCATCATCGCCCACCCTCGGCCTCGCACTCGGTTTCGCCCTCGAGTCGCCCCCGCCCTCGGCTTCGCCCTCGCCCTCGCCCCCGGCTTCGCCCTCGCCTCGGCTTGTTTGTCAGAGTCATCGCACTCCGCCCCGGGGCCCTCGTCCTCCAGATCCTTCTCGGCATCCTCCAGCTCCTTCTCGGCGTCCTCCAGCTCGTCGTCCTCGCCCTCCTCCAGCTCCGATAGAGCGCGCTCGTGGGGCCATATAGACTAAGAATGGGGCCCCAGCTTGAAGCTACCCCCCTCCCCCCTTCCTTGCTAAAGGGGGGGGGGGGCTTCGGAAGCCCCCCCTCCCCTCCCCCTCTTTTCGTTGTCCGGAAAGGGGGGGGGGGGGGGCTTCCAAGCTACCCCCCCCCCCCTCCCTTTGATTGAGCCGGGGCGAGCCACCCCCCCTTTGAAAGGGGGGGGGGCTTCGGAAGCCACCCCCCCCTCCTTTTCGTGGCCGGAAAGGGGAGCTTCCAAGCTACCCCCCCTCCCTTTTTAATGGAGCTGGGGTGAGCCCCCCCCCCCCTTTGAAAGGGGCGGGGGGGGGCTTTGGAAGCCCCTCCCCCCCCCTCCCTTGTGCAAAAGGGGGGGGGGGGGGGGGCACCACGGGGAGCAGATGCGTTGTCTTGTCTGGCCTGCCGCCAAAACCTTTCTGCAGGGACAGCGCGAAGAACGCCGCCGCGTCAATCTGCTCCTCCGTGCACTCTGCATCAGCGACCAGCTTCCACGCAACAGCCGCCGGGCCCTGCATGGCCAAGAGCTGCGGCACGAGCTCCAGCTGCGCGTCCTCGGCAGCAGGCTGAGGAGCACCACTGGGTTGCCAATCGCCCCCAACATCGGGCAAGGTCTCTCCATCCGGACTCGCTTGCTTCCTCTGGAGCGCAATGCTCTGCCGCTGTAGGGCCAGCATGTCAAAGAAGCTGTCGTCCAGCCGCGTGCCCAGATGCCCCCGCGCGCCGCTGCTGGCTGGCTGCGCAAAGCTCGCCTGCAGCATGCCGCCGCACGGTCGGCCCAGGTTCTTCAGCTGCTTATCCGCGTAGCTGAGGCGCGTCTTCTGGCTCAAGCGCTGCAGTTGGTCTTGCTGCAGAGCCAGCTCGGTTGCTCTGGTGTGGCCCCGCAGCGGAAACATGGAGATCTCGGTAATTTCGGCGCCCTCAACTTCCTCCTCTGCGTCGCTGCCACCGCCTCCGCCCGCGTCAACGAGCTCCGGCGGGACCCGGCCCTTGGGCCCTTCGGCATCGCTCGCGGAGTCCTCCTCCGCCTCCAGGTGCGCAGCCGCAGCCGGCCGAGGCTTAACCCGCGCCTCCGCCGCGAGGTCCACGTGCGCCAGCACGTCTCGCTCCGCGCGCGCGCAGAACTCCGCCAAGGTGCACTGCTCCTCGTGCCATCGGCAGTGGTGGTTACTGAAGGGCTCTTGCGAAGTTCGCTAGGCTGAGGAGCACCAGCTCGCCCTCCTCGAGGTTCGCCCGGGGTTCTTTCAGCTCAGAGAAGAGGGCCGCGTCCGCGAGCACGAGCCTCTTGCGGGCCAGGCGGCACCTGGAGTCCGCGCGCGCCGCCAGCGCGTTGATCTCCGCGCACCGAAGTCGCCGCGCCCGCTCGAACGAGTGCGGGCGCACGGCAGGGCAGTCCCAATTCTTCAATACATGGCTGCACTGGGTAACGCTGCCACAAGTGAGGGGACCCTCGCACGCCCAAGGCGTGAAGAGGAGGGCCTTGAAGAGCGAGTTCTGCTCTGGGTCCTGTGCCCAGGTCGGGCACTGGAAGTCGTCGATGGTGGGGGCGCCCATCCGCGTCAATTGGACCTCCTGCACGCACCGCGGAGCTGACGCAATGGTTGTCGAAGACGAAGAATCTCGGCCCAGAAGCTTTCACCCGGCTCGGCTTCAGGACCCGGCGGACGTACATCCTGTAGATGTAGTACGGCATGGTCTGCAGGCGAGGGCCCCTGTGGGCGTAGTCGTCGGCCGCGTTCGCGCTGGTGGTGCACGCCTGCATATCCTCGCACCCCGCACCGTCAGCCTGCCCATCGCCAGCAGGGGTCTCTCCAGGACGCTGAGGAGCACCGCTGGTCCCATCTGCGGAATGCTCTTCCTCGTCCTCGGCGACTGGGATCTGGATGCGGACTGCCTGTGTTGGCACCTGTTCATTATGCTGCATCTCGCCCGCACCTTCGTGGTTCAGCGAGCGCTTGCACTGCTGGCAGGCCCGCTGCAGCTGTCTCGTGAAGAGGCGCACATTGTGGTGCGACTGGAGGCAGTCGCCGCCTGCGAGGATGTGCAGCGCCACCTCCGTCGTGGAGAGCCAGAAGCACCGGTTCGCCATCGAGGCCAGCCGGATACAGACTCGCCGAGAACGGCGAGCGAGGTCCTCGGTCGCCCGGCGCCGTTCGGCAAGCGTCTGGTCCTCGCCATCAGCGCCGCCCTCGCTGAGCACCTTGCGGGCCTCCTCCTCCTGCTCCTCCTTCTCCTGCTGTTCCAGACGCTGCATGCCGCCGAGCATGGGCTGGAAGAGCGGCGTCATGGATTTCATCATCTTGCCTTGGTATTTGGTGATGTAGAAGTCCATGGAGAAAGCCTTCTGGAAAGCCGCTTGGAAGCTCTCCACGACCGCCGCATCTTGTGGCCGCAAGAAGCCACAGCCGTAGAGCCACTTTTTGCCGCCGCTGCGCACTGCGTTTGCCGAGCCTGGGTTCTTCTTCGTGGCCGTCTTCTCGGTGAGCCTCCTGCGTTTGGCCGGCTGAGCAGGGGCGGGCGCAGGCGGCTCTTCCTGGGCAGGCTGAGCAGCACCACCAGCCTGAGGCACTTCTGCTGCATCGGCGGTCTCGTCTGGCGCACACATCAAGAACTGGAAATCCACGTTGCAACGGCTGGTGACCTGAGAGACGTCGTTGCTGGAGCTCCCGAACGGCTGGTCGCGTTTTACCTGGCAGCGGCACCGCTGGTTGCGGTCATCTGAGAAGTCGATGAACGGAGTCCGGACCAAAGGCTTGCCGCGCCGACGCACTCGCTTGGTGCGGCCGCCTGTCAGCCTCAGCCTCAGCCTCAGCCTGCCTCAGCCTCAGCCTGCTGCGCTCCCGCATACTCCTGCGGCCTCAGCCTGCATCAGCCTCAGCCTGCATCAGCCTCAGCCTGCATCAGCCTCAGCCTCAGCCTCAGCCTCAGCCTCAGCCTCAGCCTCAGCCTCAGCCTCAGCCTCAGCCTCAGCCTGCCGCAGCCTCAGCCGCACCTCCGATGGCGCCGAGGGGGCTCCCGTGCGCACCTGCACCCACGGAACTCACCTCCGATGGCGCCGAGGTGGCTCCCGTGCGTACCTGT